TTTTTTGGCTGAAGTCAACTGGAGCATATAAGGCAGCATCTCGATTAGCAAGTGCTACTCCTCCTCCTGCTCACGTGCTTAGTCGTGGAATTGGCTGGCAGGTATGTAAAAGAAAAAGGAAAGTGCTTAGTCGTCGTACCAAGACAATTGTAAGAACCTTTAATAAATCTTGCGTATGATTCCAAATCAATGAGTAAATCTAAAACAGCTTAGCAGGATAAACACATCTTTTTGAAAGTTCTAAGTTGAAGCATTGCTTGTACATTGTGCAGTTTGATGTGAAGTTGCTATTGTACATAAAACTTATAAATCCTCTTTATGTATAGGGCGTTGGGATTCTATTAGATGGACTATTCGGGACAGTTACTGGATCTACCGTTTCTGTGTAAGATTTTTTTGCGTACATTGGCTTTGCACTAATTTTTTATGGTGATCGCTTGCTAAAAAACCTTCACAACAATAGAGAAAATATTGGTCTTCTTGGAAGCACTCGTGTTGGCAGCCGCAGGGTAATCCAAATTTCTGCTGGATTCATGATCTTCTTCTCAATGTTAGGTATATGCGTAGCCAAATCAAAGAAACAATATTTTTTCACTTGCTTCTCCCTTAACATTCTATCCTTAAACATCTGTAGGAAAATTTGGAGCATTGTTTGCATCAATACCCTTCACAATCTTTGCAGCTGTATATTGTGTTATGTTTGGTCTTGTCGGTGGGTAAATGAATTTTACTTTATAATATTTTTTGCTTCGTCAATTCGTCATGTCTTTCTTATGGGTAGTTTTCCATTGTTTCCAGCTTCTGTAGGGTTGTCGTTCTTGCAATTCACAAACATGAACTCGTTGAGAAACCTCTTTATTACTGGTGTTTCCCTCTTCCTAGGCTTATCTATCCCAGAGTATTTCAGGGAATATACTACCGCCGCTCTTCATGGTCCTGCACACACAAATGCTGGATGGGTAAGTTGCTCAACTTTTACATAAAAGCATCGATGAGTAGATCTTAATGAAGGATGGAGGACAATAATGCATTTTCATTTCAATATTTTTTCTAAATGTTCTCTTGGTGTGCAGTTCAACGATTTCCTAAACACCATCTTCTTATCATCTCCGACTGTTGCCCTACTTGTTGCTGTATTCCTGGACAACACGCTTGACATTAAAGGCAGTGCTAGAGATCGGGGAATGCCATGGTGGGCCAAGTTCAGAACATTCAAGGGAGATAGTCGGAATGAAGAGTTTTACACTCTTCCGTTCAATCTCAACCGATTTTTTCCTCCATCATGATACATTATTATTGAGGCGAAGACAAAATCATAAGCTGAAAAAGGATTATGCTCAATTGTTGCTTATTGCTATGATTATAGAGCTTGTGAGTGTGTGTTTCGACTCGCCCATGAATCGACGGATTAGCCTCTTCTGTCAATATTTTTTGATTTATTCAATCAATCTGGCTTGGGTTATTCAAGTTTAACTCAATACGCTAAGTCATCAGTTGCTACTCGTGCGCACTTATAAGGTTTATTTTATAATTTGACAATAGATTTACTTGGGAACCTGCAAATTAGAATGATTTTTGCAAAGCTTGGACACATACATTTCTACCTTAAACTTGACATGTTCAAACATGGAAAGAGACCGAAGCTCAAGTACCACTTTATGCCCATACGAACCAAAAGACTACAGTCACTACAAGAAATTTATACTTTACAAATTTTTGGTAGACAAATTCAAATTTATATGCCGAAATCACTTTTCCCCACACAAAAATTAAAAAAAAAAAATTAAAAAATCGTAGGGCTATGAATGCTTCAAATTTTTTAATAGTGGGAAGACTCGTGCCTACAAAATTTTGTATTTTTTCTCGATAAAAAAATTGGCTTAGAATATATATCTTTTACCGACAAAAGTATTTAACTTGTTTAGCAAAAAAAAAAAAAAAAAAAAAAAAAAAAAAAAAAAAAAAAAAAAAAATTTTTTTTCTTTTTATAAAAATTAAAAAAAAAAAAAAAAAAAAAAAAAAAAAAAAAAAAAAAAAATTGAACAAAATAAATTTGATTTCCATTTGTATATAATTGAAAAGATAATTGTAAAACCCACGTACGCATGCAATTACTTCCCTAAACTTTTGCCTCCAATGATTTTTCACCAAAATTTTCTTCCCTCTTTGCTGCTTCATCGATCGGTGGCTAAGAAAACTAATTCCAATTTGTTTAGCCTCAATTTTTCTGGTAAATCCCGTGGTTGCAATTAGGGATGGATCCAGCCGCTCGAGTGAGCTAGGCGAAGTGTTGAGTAGTCATTAAATAATATAGCGAGATTGTTTTCTAATATTTAATTAATTTATATTAAACGAATCTCCAATCAATATATAAATGCACCGAACAAGGTCCCTCTCACATGCAAAAGAAACTTGTCACCATATGCGCATAGCCACCTTTAGTCAAAAAGTTTGCATTTAACTTTTTTAACTTTAAAACTCGATTAATATGTAAATTTCTCTTCCGGCGGAGCCAGGCCCGTGCCGGCTCACCGGGTGCTAGCTACTCCCAATGACGAATCCAGGATTTTGAGTTAGCATGAGACAATCAACCATCAGCCACAATAAAATATTAAGAGCCCATTTGATGTCATTTTTTAAAACAAAAAAAGGCATTTTGGAATAGTGATTTGACGGAGAACGTGTAGTTAAGAATAAGGAAAAATTTTGAATTTACGTGTAATATTATTTTATTGAGAAATGTATAGTTAAAAATAAGATAGTTAAAAATGTATTTTAATATTGGGAATAAAACTAGGCCTAAAATTTAAATATAACAATTATTTTGTTCATATTGAACATATATAATTCTGTTATAAAATAAACCGTACTCATCAAATGATATTGTTGTCAAGTTTTGTATAATTTAAAGGAACAGCAAAAGTTCGAATCTTTATAATTGCATTAAACACAATAAAATGTAATATATATTATTTTATTAAATTTAGTGTTAAGAGTTAAGGGGTGCTAGAGTGGTCAAGTTTTTGTCAAGTTTTCAATAATCTGATCATGAGCTCATGGGTCGGAATCCTCCCCAGCGCCTCCCCATTGCATTAATTTTGGTAAAAATTGTAGAACTAAAAATTTTGCACAATAAATTGGTTGTCAAGGGATTCAAACTGGGACTTACAACATGTATTTCCACTTGGCTAGAAGAGGTGTTTGAGAGTATGAGATATTAGTGGATAAACAAATACGTGGTTGGAAATAGTTGAGGCATAATTATGATTAATGTTCCTAACTTAACATGTCTTATTCTATAATACTTTGATTATAAAATTTTATAGTTGGATTGATGTTCTTCATCAAAAAATTAGATGATGTATCATGATTTGAAATCTTGCTTAATCATGGATGTTGATGAGCTTTTTACCTTAATATAACGATTACAGTTAAAATAGTTTTATTTTTATTTTTTTTATAATTAAGCGCTGCTTTATATTAATACAAGTCTAAAATATCTTTATTTTAAAAGCTTTTCTTCTTTTTATAGACATTTGTGGATTATGAAGAATTAATTCGATTGCAATCATAGAATGAGACCTTCGAAATCCAGATTGTATTGATGCAAGAGAGAATTAAGTGTTCAAGTGAAACTTCAACTTAAAGTAAATGATATTGTAGAAATACCACTGCTCTAGGCAGGTGGAAATTAGAATATGACCTTCATGAGGAAGGACTATCGAAACTATATTGAATAAGTTGGGAGGTTAAGACTTGGAGAAGGTAACGTTGTAGCAATATAAGCATACGTTTTGACTATGTAAGGAAGGTGTTTGGGGTTCTACTTTTGTATAGATTTGGATGACGAGTCATGTCTAAAAAATGTTTTATGGGCAGATAATAGAAGTAGACTGGCATGTATCGAGTTTGGCGTATGATATATTGTTTGCTCCTTTAGTTGAAGTATATCATCACAAACAACTGACACTCCTTGGATGTGGTCTCATATCAAATGAGGATACTAATAAATTTGTGTGTCTTTTTCGGACATGGTTGAAATGTATGAACGACCAAGCTCCTAATGGGATGATCAAGACAAGACAATGCAAAATGCGATTTAAATTGTATTTCCTAATACGAAGCATATGTAGTATTTGTGGCACATATTGAAAAGTTGCCAAAAAAAGATTAGATTTCTCGTTGATAAAGCTTCGATATTCTTTACTATACACGAAGTGGTTTATGATTCTCAATTTGTTGACGAATTTGAAGAAGGTTGGCTAGTGATGATAGAAAAGTATAATTTGCAGGAAGATCCCGTTGGGTTCTTGTTATTTGAGAACTACTTTCTGGGCAGGGATGCCAACAACTCAACAAACTGAGATATTCACTCTAAGATCTCATTGAAGTAATTTCTTGAATAGTATGAAGGAGCATTGAGAAATGATGTTGAGAAGGAGTTTCAAGAGAATTTCAAGTCTTTCTCGCAAATGGCACGTTGTGCAATGAGGTATGAAATGGAGAAGCAATTCCAGTCAGTGTACACAATTTTGAAGTTCAAAAAAGTTCAAGAGGAGTTTGTTAACAAAGTTTATTACGACCTCATATATGTTAATAAAGGATGGTCAGGGATGACGTACGAGTTAAGCTAAGATGTCACACATGACCATCGTTGTAGAAAAAAACATTTTTGTCTCATTATCAAGGGGCAAATGTGAAATTATGTGCAGCTGCCACTTATTTGAGTTTCAAGAATTCTATGTCGGCATGCAATCACAATAATAATATGTAATGACATCAAATCACTGCCAGATAAATATATTTTACGGAGATGGTGGAGAGATGTTATCAAATCCCATACAAGGGTTACATTGAAGTACAACGAGGTGGTTAGCATCTCTGCACTGTTAATGTACAACAGGATGGTAAAATCATTCGCTATGTTGGCAAACATCACTTGTGATGATGATGTGAAATCTGGTTCTATATTGTAATAGATCAAAGTTCACTGTAAACAGATGGCCACATCAATGTCAAGCTGTGGGAGTAATGTCTTGTCCAATCATACTACTCATTTTAGCATTTGAGTGTGTAGCATCAAAAGATACTGATAGTAGATGTGAGTGTATAGGATCCAAAATGGCAAAGAGAAAAGGCGCTCCCAAAAATCTTTGGAAGAAGTTTCCGTTGGAACTGAGTTCAAATAAAGCCAAGATATGTTACATTATTTGGATACCGTGTCGGTTTTTTTGAACCATGTACAAATACAAAGAAAGTATAATTTTGATACGTTGTGATGTAGGCAGGTTGTAGTATAACCAAAGGGAAGAAACCCAAGGCAAGCCAAAGTAATCTTGGAGATGGTGCAACCGTGTTTCAGACAACTCAACAAGCACAATATTCAATGCCAGTACCGTTATCATATTTACAACTCTTAATGGTTGGTATATATACATGATTAAATTTCCTTTGTACGGATATATATAATTGATAAATTAAACATTTTTCCATATAGGGTGCAAACCAAATCCTTGAGTTAACACAACACTTACAATGGTGTATAGTATGTCATGCAATGCGTTGCTCTATTGCATATTTGCTGGACAACAATGGTGCAAACCCATGACATTGGAGTAACGAAAATGGAAATAGAGATATGGCAAATACAAATATTATGAGCCTATCAATTATTCTGATCATTTCGTGTCAACTATTCTTCATTTTGCCTATAGGTATATGAATGGAGAATGTACGTGGAAAATCCAACAAGTGCCATATGAAGTGTGAGAGCCGTCGAGTTTTAAGCTTTAATTTATTATGCTAATTCGATTAACAAATAACCAACTAGCTATGGGGATGCACTGAAAGTAATATAAATGTTGTCATGGTGATTGTGTTGAAATAATTCATGAACTAGGAAAGAAATTGTTATGCATTTGTTATACATGTTTGTTATGAAATGTTTTACAATTCAGTTATTGTTGTAGGAAAAAAGCCAACATGCACGTTTTAAATTCAATCTTATTTCCCTTGATACTATACATTCCTTGATTGGCAAGTCCAAGCCATCCACATTGCATAAAAGTAGACAACATCACCATATAGACCAGTAAGACAACGGAAATCAAGTTTTTATAAAGTAATTACAATTACAAAAGAAAATTACTTAGCTAGTACATCCCAATGAAACTACTAATCCATAAAATACTTAAGTGAGATAACGTCATTAAATTTACTATTACAACTCATTCATGTCCCTGTCCTTTCTTATACCCATCCGCATTTGGTCTTTCTTGTGTATTGTCACGTTAACAGAAATCTCCTCATTCTGTTGATCAAATAATCGACATTGGTCTCAAACATGGTAGATAGTTCTTTAGCTCCTTCGGTCGTCACATGATTCTTCAAAGTAACACTAATTGCACTTGATTCGCAGATTGTTTCACCATCTTCGACCCACTCCCAATATTCATATTTTGCACTACGAGTAT